CATAAAAAAATTTCCAACGCCCAAGACCACGAAAGAAATAAAAAGCTTTTTTCATCACGGTACTCCTAAATTACTTGTTTTAGACCAAGGAACCGAACTAAAAAATACCATTATAAAAGAATTTGCCACACTACACAAAATTGAAATCCATTATACCACAGCTCTGAACCCTAATTCGAACAGCCCAATAGAGAGATTCCATTCGACCATCATTGAACACCTCAGGATAATTGGAGAAACAAAAAAGGACTTGAACATCCTAGATCAGATGCCTTATGCAATCCTTGGCTATAACCATGCTATTCACTCAGTAACCAAACAACGTCCTATAGATATCATCAATGGACATCTCGATTCAAATAGTCCTTTTGACATCAATATTAGTGAAAAATTATACAACAATTATATTGAAGAACATAAAGATCGTACCATAGAAATCTATAAAAAACTCAACCAACAAATGACAAAGCAAAAAGAAAAAGTATTGGAAAAGGTTAATCAAAATAGGCACGACCCGTTGACTTATCAACCAAACACCCTAGTTTATCATAAAACTAGAGCTCGGAATAAAGCAAGTCCCCGATTCAAAGCTCACCATATCACAAAGAATAAAAAAATTAATGTTTCAACAATACTGCGTAAAAACAAATCCACTACACCTTCAGTGACTAGCGGAGCAACAAAAGTCTACCATAAAAACAATCTGAAAAGACCATTATCTAATCAAAAAACTATCGCATTACAGGATACTTCTCGCGCTGAAAGCGAACAGTGCTCAAAAAATAAGGATAACCAGTCTTGATTCTAATCCCGGGATCCTACCTTATAAACTAGGTGATGCCAAATTGAAAGCCACCCATCACACGTGCATCCACTACTTTGACCTGATTCCTATCGAAACCGAATTATCGAAATTAACTAAGCAATATGAAACAATAAAACAAATTATTCAAAGTCGACACCCACTGTACTATAGCGAATTAATAAATATAGATAATGCCATTCTTTTCAATCTCAATCTTGCTAGAGAAAAATTTAACTCCATTCATCCGAGTAAGAGGGTTAAGAGGGGACTCATTGACGGTTTAGGTACTATCTTCAAAAGTATTTCGGGTAATTTGGACGCCGATGATGGCAAAAGATACGATGAAGCCATTGCCACCCTCGAAACTAATCAAGAAAATATTGCAACAACTTTGAACAAACAAATCTCATTAACTAAAAAGGTCATGAATGATTACGAGAAATCTTTGACGTTGATCAAACAAAACGAACAGCAAATGTCAGATAAAATTAACGAACTCGATAAAGAGCTAGACAAATTGTTATTCGACTTCAATAGTTACATCTCTGCGAAGATTGCCTTAGATCAATTGGCAGCAATATTGAACATCCTATTACAAATACTTAATGGTTTGGAAAATTCTATCACTTTTGCAAGATTGAAAATTGTTCATGCTAGCAACTTGAAAATCGAAGATTTGGAATTTATAATACAAACACTCTTACGCCATCATCAACCGAACCAACTCTTATTTGGAAACGATAATGCTACTTTACACAAATATTACGAAATTTTGGAAATCGAATCATATCAGTCAAACGATAAAATAGTCTTTATTATTCACTTTCCTATAATGTTTCCCGAGACCTATTCATACTTCCATCTATATTCAATTCCTACCAAAACCAATACTATTCTGATCCCAACCAAAACTTTTCTGGCAATGAACGAAAACTTCTATCAGTATCAAGACACCGAATGCAGAAATACACATCCAATGTATTACTGTAGTACTGGAATACTTCAACAGCACTCCAATCAAAAGGACTGTATATACCAACTCCTACAATTAAAAGCGAAAGAACCGACTTCCTGCGAGCCAGTCCCAGTCTCGATCGAAGGCGAAATCATCGAACAAATTAACACCGCCCACTACATAGCCATATTTCGGGACGACACGAAAATCAAGACCGAATGTCACAAAACCGATTTGACAATTCTCAAAGGACCCTACTTCATCGAGGTCCCATCTGGATGCAGTTTCCACACGTCACGAGACTCCTATACGAACAACGAGGACACCATCAAGGGACAACCCTTACTACTACCCTCCGTAAGAATCCCCACCAAGACATCTAGTACGCACCTACAAGAATTCGTACTACATGATATACCATTAGATCAAATACATCAAATACAAAAGGAACAGCAGAAGATCCATCAGGTCACCCTGAAGAACACGAAACAAGATGCATCCTATATTTGGGCCACACCCATCTACCTCCTATTCGCAGCTATATCGATTATTGGCCTGATATACCTATACTGGACGAGACGTTCGGTACCGGAGACTGCGGCCCCCCAGGAGACAGCAACTAGGGTACCCGAAAACCCAAGACCAACCGCCAGAAGACTTCAACCCTGTCCAAGTACCGAAGACGACGACGAATGATCGATCCACCCCTTGTATGGATCTTTCTGGGATGGGAGGAGTTATATTCCATATTCCCAGGGAACCCATGGGAAATAGGCTACATCATCGATTCCGCAACTCAGCACTTCGAGGCGTTCTCACCAGAGGCGAGGCAGATTCCAGGAATTGAATCAGCAACTTTTATTTCACATTTTTATAATTCATTTCTCACGTAGCTCAGTCTTAGCTGAATATTTGTACTGTTCACATCAAATCAACTTGTGTCTACCTTTGTATCGAAAAATAAATGTTTTTTTAAAAAACCAAACTCTAGACGAGTTATAAAAGTCGCGGTGTGACGCACCTTGTATTCGTCCAATGAAATGCCATCAATCTTTCGCGCGCATTCGGGCTATCGTTTGAATTTAGGTTCAATTCAATTGTTTTTTTCTGGGCCAACCGCAATCGTAAGAAATTTGAAAAAATGCTGAATTCACTCAGTATGTGTTCTGAATCGTGAAAAAAAAAATCAAAAAATCATGGTGAAATTCCCTATTCTAATTCTTCAGGTTGGGAAAGTAGAATATATATAAGTTAGGCAAGCCAAGTTCTTCCATTTGCTATGGATTTCCATTTAGAAACGGCCGAGTCAATAAAAAAAAAGTAGTTTTTCATCATCAGTTTTCGATTTTACGCGCCTCTATAAATCTCTTTGGTGAAAAGGAAGTAGTTTATATTTTTCAGCTACTATGATTTGAGAATTGGCAACGTTATGCATATGCTGTGAGTGTAGAAATATTTTCAAATCGATTTCACTCGAAAATGATACATCTGATCGATATGGAACAAGTGCACCATTTTTCTGTTAAATGGTGTTGATTTTCATAACCCAAGATCTATTTGTCGAAAAATGTGAATACAAAAAAAAATTGAGCAATATTCAATGTAGCCCCACTCTCTAGAATATATAGACTCCTAAATGTAATTTTGAAATGAATAATTATATCTTCACTACAATGGACATAGGAAGTTTCGTTCTTGCACCGAATTGCATTATTTCATTACATGGAGTTCCTGAAATATTCAAGAAATATCATCTTCAGGAGCCCTCATTCTGGGGTCAGTAGCTCCTTCAGGAGACATTTCTTGACTCATGTTCATGTTCACCATACTATTGATGACATTATTGATGAAAATCTAAAATGGCGCCCATAAAAAAAATAAAGTTGATGTTGGTGGAGTAAAGACGAATCGTCAGATAGTGAATCTCAAAATGTCATCGTACAGCAGGAAGAAAGTGGCATTGTGAATTCACTATCAATTTCTATATTCTTCAACAAATAAAGCCAGGAAAAATGAGAATGAATAATCAAAATTTCTGTTTTTTCGTATATCTCCGGAAATAAAAGGCATCTAGAAATGTTCTCGACGGCATATTTCTAGTAACATAAATGCACAACTTCATCCACATTTAACCATTTTTGTATCTCCTAAAAATAGTCGCGGGTAATACCCCGAGACCATGACAAATAGCCTACAATTATTTTCTCCATAATTCTATCGAGAGTACCATGTATTTTGTGACAATTTGATTAGACCATATATGAAGATTAATAATCTGAGGTTATTCTATGATTATTTATGTTCACATGGTCGAATTGAATTGTCTCAAAATTCAAGTTACTCGAGATGAATTGGGGAAAATATAATAGTCTCTTTTTGTCATGGTTGAGTGATATTCAGGAAGATTATTTCATGAACAGTGTGAAAATACTCGTATGAGTTTCAACATTCAATCCAAGTTAAATTTCACAATTCTGCAGATACTATTCTAATAAAGATTTTTCTGAAGGCCGTTCGGGGTATTCTTATCATATCTACGTACAATTACAATCAATTCATCTGAAGTTGAAGCAAAGAAAGGATATTAACGCTATTGTTTGCGTTAAAATTCTTCGATTAGAGCTTCTGAACTTTTCTTTCTCGTTGGAGGAAAATATTGTAGGCTTCGTCTTTTTGCATTATGCGCACCTTTGAATTCGATTCATTCAAATGGATTCATCTTACGTTTATGTTAATTGAAGTAACCTTCCTGTATTTAGTTCTCCATAACAATTTCAACTGTGTATTCCTAATATTCCTCACCATTCTCCTCACCCGATCTTTCCGGATTTGGGCTATCACGAGATTTGGGTAGTCGCACAAAATTTACAGTTTTTCTGCTGACAAAAAAACATGAATTGTTCCAGACAGACTCTTTACTCTCCTTGTTATCTTCTGATATCGATTCGCTTACATAATCACGGATTTCCTTAGTGGCAGTTGACCCAATACCATACATTTCAATTTTCGAGTGCCTGATAGGTACGTCAAAGTTTGACAACCATAGCACTCTTATACTGGCGAACAGAATAGCCGCTCATATTGTTTGTTTACCTAAATAGCCGCTAATATCGCATATCATGTGACTTCAATCATGACATTTCGTAGGTCCAGCCGGGTGTGACTGAAATAATCATTTAAATCTTATTCTTCGTATATGCCTACATAAACGGAACGATAATTATTGGATCCTTGTTTCAGGACTCCTTTCTTGGGATGCTAATGACTGCTTGGTGGATTTAGAAAAGGAATTAGCCATTATAACGGAGCAACGGTTGGAGGGCGAAGAAGCTAGATATGGTAAGTTATGGAAAATATACAGAAGCGACAGACCTGAATCAGGAATGAGAAAACATTCAGGCAAATGATACTGTTGAGCACCCATTTACTTAATTTGCTTCCACAGGGGCCTTACAAAGTTCATGAATATTCTATCAGAACAACCTAATGAATATACACTCCTCCAAGGAATTTACGCTCTACCAAAAGTAGCCAGGAAACCTTTTCGTCAAAACTACTTGTCCGATTTGGACGGTCTTGTTCAAAATGACATGTTATTTCCTTCTCAACATTGGTGTGCAAACTTTATCTGCACAAAATACTCTTCTCTATGATAATCAGCTTGTTTTTCTCATGAAATCTCTAATAACCTGTGGAGTGCAACAGTTACGTTATCGAGTCAAAATAATTGAAATTACACTTTAGCCTTTTCTTTTCTCAACATTCTCACCTTTGGATTCTTTCCATTATCTTTCCTATCGCTAAGAGATCCAAGATGAACAAAGTTGCCCCAATTGTCAGCAGGAGCGAGACAGTGCTGTTTAGACCCACCAGGTCTCATCAGCCGCTCTCGGTCTGCTGACAACTGGAACTCTACGCTTCTGGTATATCACCCATTTCGAAGACGCAGGGTATAACATGAAGTTATAGTCATGTTGTAGCCATCTAGTGGCGAAGCTCTAAAGTAGGATACAGAAATCGCGACACACACTGTATAGCGCTGCCATCTATAGTCACACGTATAGACCCCTACGTCTATACGCTACAGAGTGATACTACAACGGCGTTGAAGTGACACTTCACGCCCGCAAAACCATGCGGTAAATTGCTACTTCACCGCCGGTCGTGCATAAAAAAGTATTTATTTCGATTATTATTATAGGAGAGCGTCTGATCCAATTCGCATCAGAAAACCTCGTCACAGAAATCTTGATCCACCCTGTGGTGAGTACTTTGGTGCAGTGTATGCGAAACCTGCTGAGCAGCTTCACCAGACATAGGCACATCATCCATGCTGGCTACACTTTCGCTGCCAACGGGTCGTGGGCCTTGCAGGTAAATAATTTTTTTCGGCTTCTTCTTTGAGAAAGTAGCATTTTTCCGGCCTAGTCCGTGAAGTACGTACTTCCTGGACTAGTCCGGGAAGTATCTCATCGTTGTAGTCACTGTAACTATGGAAATCTTGGTAGATATGGTTTTGATCAATGCAGATGATAATTACCGGCTGACAGCTATTTGACATGAAATTAGTTGACATTTTGAATTTTGAGAGTTTGGTTGCAATTATGTTCAATACAAGTCAAATACATACAATAGATTACAAATATTGATAAAAATCAAGAAGCCTCTGAGAGATGTACATAATTTCCTTTTTCTACTCACATAACTGAAAGGGCATTTAGCGTACGGATACGTACCACGCTAAATGATCGATTAATCACGGATTGACGATCTGTGATTTATTCACAATATTAAACACGTTACCATGGCAACACGATTTCTCAAACACATTACCATGGCAACACAGTTCATTAAACACAGCTTCAGTAATTTGAGACATGTCTGGCTTGTCAAGTATTAACTGTCAAATGTCATTTTCGAATTTTGTATCATATTTATTCAAACAATTTTCGTTTGTATCAGAATTTTCCATTGATAATATATGCGAAATGTATAATAAGAAAGTGAATTCGAAGAGAATGTTTTGGTACTTGCGTATCTCCAAGAAGTGTAAAAATGAAGCATCCATCTTTGAGAACAATTTATTTATTCTGCGCTAAGCATGGCAATAAACGTGAAACAAAGGTAAGTAAACAATGGACTGGACACATCTACAACCAATATCACTTATACGTATCTCGCTGGTTGCATGCATCAGTTGCATCTATTATATGTTTTTCAATTCCCAGCATTCCTTCCGAATTATTTTGTAGGTTAGCAGCAATAGCAGGTATGTTAATGTAATTTTGGGAGTACGTAGAAAAAGCATGGTATGTAACGCGTTTATAAACTCTTCTAGACACTCGTTTATTAAACACTCGCTCCGCTCTGCTCCGCTCGTGCTTAAAATACTCGTTAATAAAAGGACGTTTATAACACTTATTACATAATATACTATATCTTCCCTTATTCTGACAAAGGAATATAATTGCTTCATTGATATCCTGTATTTTATAAGGTTCTATTGTGACTTATATTGATTTTATGGTTTTTCTGAAACTAGTGAAGATTTTGATTTCTTTGATATCGTTTGGGAGCATATTAAAGAACCTTAAGCACTGATAATGACAACCTTTCTCAAATAGGGATGTCTGTAGTGGAAATGAAAATGTTTTTTTCCGTCTCATATTGTGAAAATGATTATGTAAGGAGTCATTGAATATATGTTTGTTGTATACAAAATTGACACATTCAAGGATATATGCACCAGGCAATGTCAAGAGATTGAGTTTTTTGAAATATAGTCACGACAAGATTCTGAAGTTATCAAGTTAGCCAGAATACGAATTGACCTTTTTTGAATCACAAATACTTCTTGACTGTGTAAACCACCCCAAAAGATTATACCATAAAATATGATTGAATAGGAATGTCCAAAGTAAGCTGCCTTGAGAGCATCGTGATCTGTCCTAAGTGCTTTCAGAGCATAATTGGCCTTACTGAGTCTACCACAGAGCAGTGATACATGGTCTACCCATGAGAATCTTACAAATGAGAATTAATGAAGCAGAAATTGTATTCTACAAAGGAATATAATATGGAAATGTGTCTCATTGATTCGTTATTCTACATGGTTGCCGAAGAAATCTTGTACCTAACACGTCCAAAAACAGTCTTTTTGGACTCGCAGACTTCCAGGACTCGCCTACGGCTCCGCCTAGAATTTCGTCTACTCGTCCAAAAAACAGTATTTTCCGGGATTATCACATGAATTACTATTTTTGGCAACCGTCCAGGAATTGCTCCCTTCCCGGACGCTTTTTCCTTGAGAAAGTGACATTTTTCCGGCCTAGTCAGGGAAGTATCACATCGTTGTTGTCACTGTAACTATGAAAATCTTGGTAGATATGGTTTTGATAAAATAAATGTAGATGATAATTACCAGAGCAGCGAAATATCGGCTGACAGATATTTGACATAAAATTAGTTGACATTTCGACTTTTGACAGTTTGGTTGCAATTATCGCAATGAACTATCGAGAACAGCTGCGATAGTGACTTTCCATACGGAATTTTCACTGATAATATCACGAGAGCTTCAATTATTCCTGAATATTTGTGTTTGAGAAAAAATTCCCGGATATTAATCGAAGCTGAAGTGGTATTCGCTAAGAAAATTTCCCACTGAAATATTATATCACGAGTATACCTATACATGATATTATATGGCAAACTGTTGATAAATGATTTTTATTCCTCCTCCACAAACTACCATCATACGGCTTATCACCTCAGCTATGCCATCTCTTATCGAGTTTTCTTTCAGGCAGATCGCTTCACGTGGTGGTGGACGGTGTATCGTCTGATACCATTGGCATCAATTCCGGCGTTCCACAAGGATCAATTTTGGCACCAACATTATTCCTGCTTCATATCAATGATCTGTTGGGAGTAACAACTTGCCCCATCCACAGCTTTGCAGATGATAGTACCCTCCATACTGCGTTCTCTTCCAGAATTCCCATTTCTTCCCAGGAAACTAAGAACTCACGGCGCAGGCAGGTCAATGCTGTCAATAAAGATCTTGCTGAAATCACAGCCTGGGGAACGAACAACCTAGTTGAAGCCAACGCCACCAAAACTCAAGCCTGCATTTTCTCTAGAAAGGCGGAACTCAGTATGCCCGATATTGTAATGTCTGGCTCCACCATCCCCACCAAGCCCACCATATCTATGCTCGGTATTTCCATCAGCAACACTCTTTCATGGGATAATCATGTCAGATACATCGCAAAAGCTGCTTCACAAAAACTCGGATTCTTGTTCCGTGCGAAAAGCTACTTTACACCTCAACAGCTTCTCATGATCTACAAAGCGCAGATACGGCCTGTTCTAGAATACTGTTCCCACATATGGGGCTCAGCACCAAAACATACGCTGATGCTCTTAGATTCCATCCAGAGAAGAGCCATTCGCCTGGTGGGTGACGCCACACTCACTCACTCTTTGACATCATTGGAACACCGTAGGAAGGTCGGCGACCTTTCACTTTTCTATCGATACTTCCACGGGAAATGTTCTTCGGAAATCTCTGCTATCATCCCTTCACTAGCAATACCAATCAGACGAACTAGACAAGCCTAGTCAGCACATCCTTTCGTTGTCAACCTCGAAAGATGTCGAACAGCACTTTATCAAGACTCCTTCATCCATAGAACGGCTAGGCTCTGGAATTCATTGCCTGTGGAAGTATTCCCAACAACATATAATCTCCAGAAGTTCAAAAAAAATTCCAATACCTACCTCCTGTCCCTATCCTCCCTAGGAACGCACGATGTTCTTTGAACATTATAGGGATTCCCTTTCGTGCGCTTCAAGCGATAAAAAAAAATTTATTGACGTATAGAATGAACTCGAAATAATCTGAAGTTGAATGTAAATATCATTTATAAACGTCAAAAAATTTCCATTCCAAGAAACTTGTTCTGTTGCTATGGTAACGATACAAAATACAGTCTTCAAATTGATCGAAAATGTTTGGTGTGAAGATTTCACTTATAATATTACGAGAGCTTCAATTATTCCCGGAAAGAATTTTCTAAATATTCGTGTTCGAGAAAGAATTACCGCATATTAGTTGAAGCTAGAGTGGTATTCGATAAGAAAATTTCATACTGAAATATTATATAACGTCAAAAAATTTACAATATAATTTCATGCTCCGTCCCTCAAAGAAGAGAAAACAATTTTCAAGGAATTTGTTTAGTTGCTTTGGTAACGATACGAAATACATGCTTTGAATTGATCGAAAATGTTTGGTGTGAAATTTCGCGATAATCTCCTGTTGCTATTTGAGTAACGTGAACAAAAAGTAACCTCCTATTTGTTTGAAAATAAATTCAAGAAATGTTCACTGATTTCAGTTATAACTAGAAGAGAAAATCCCAAAAATCCAGAAAACGAACCGTAATAACAGATTTTTCTCCGCAGGATGGCACATTCTCGTATGCGGACTTCTCCGAGGCCTTCCAAGAGATGGACGTCCAACGTGTCATCCACGCGTACGACATGGGCATCTCGTTGGACATACACTGCTCGCCGGAAGGCGAGTGGCCCAGGATGCCCAAGGAACCTTACGCCAAAGCCTGCAAGGCTCGCATCAACCCCGCCGACGTGCTAGGCTCAGGCTCGGCGGACATCCGAGCCTTCGTCGATTATCTGGCGAGGTTTCTGAGGCCCGCTGCGCTGGAAGGTTTGCTGGCTAGTTCGGACGTGGTGGGAAATATCAGGTTCTCCAGGCCGACGTTGTATGTTTTTCCAGGCGGTCAAGGTAATCTACTAGATGGGATAAGTTAATCATGAGAGACCCCGTATATTTTCATTCAGCGTGGTTTTTTGTTCCACCCTGTATATTCCATCTTGTTATTGTAGCTGTGTTATCGCTATTCTTATCAGCAGCCTGCTGATAGCTTGCTCGTCGGAGCCGGATAACCTTGAAAGCGTAAAAAATGACCAGAATGCACCTTAACTTTTCTTATGGAGATTAACATGGGAAAAGTGGTCGAAATAGTATCGTGCTCTTGTAGCTCATCTACCACTTCGACTTCTTTAAAGAAAAAAATCGAATGAATACTGAAACAGTCATTACTGTAATATTACGATATCATGAGGTGAAAATACACTTCTTCATAAATCGAAAATATTTCTATACCGAGAATCTAATACAAACGGGAAAACCTAATGTCATTACGACAATAGTTCATGAAATGAACGAAAATGGTAGGTATCGAGAGAAAAACAACTACTCACCTGGCTATATGCCACGCAGAAAATTTGATTACATCCTACCAAAATTTATGCAATAATTCATATAGACGTATGAAATCGCAAGTGTTTCCTTCCTAAACGCCGAGTTGCGCTTAAGCGGTTCAGTCAGGAGCGCGTGCCTACCTGCAGACCAGTTTCGAGCTGTTGGCTCTCATCGGTGCAGGGCTGTCCTAGATAGCTTCTGGACCGCTATCTGGTGCGTACCTGACCCAACACACACACCACGCCCCTCGAAAGGTTGAATGCCCAGGATCAAGTGCCGCCATATAACTAGCTTACGTTATATGATAGCTCCTCATCCCCATGTCCATCCATCCCCACTCACTAACGAGTGGACTTCAACCTTATGCATTTGGCAATCTGCATATGTTTTATATAACCCCTTACTTGGTTTCAGTCTTCCGACTTTTAAACCTTTTTTCCTACGACTACTACTGTAAGTGATGTATATTGTACACAAAACAATGGCAGTAAGTTTCTCCTTACACACGTGTGCGTAAAGAAAGCGATCGCACGGTTTTCATAGGTATGTTGATAGATGACTTTGTTTTGTTGCTTAGGCGATGTGTCAATACCAATTAACAATTTTATTAATGTCAGTAGCTAGGTGGTTAGGTACTTATCTTTTTATCAATCAATCCAACTATCCACCGAAACAGAAAGCAGGTAAGTTATATTTTTTGAAAATATGATTATTTTCTATTGATAATATCTTCGATTTCAGTTAAGAAAATTATGTCAAGTGATGACGATGAAGAAATTATTTCTGTACCACCAGAAATGTTGGAAAAAGCTAGAATGGCTAAAAATGAGTTGCTACCCGCTAAGTCTCGTGAATGATATGAAACAGCACATCAAAATTTCCTGGACTGGAGAATTAGAAATAATACGGTGTCATTTTCGGAAAATATATCCTTTCAGTATATTTTCAAGAATAATCAAATTCGATGAAATCATCATCACTCTGGTCGATATATTCCATGTTACGATCAACACTAAATATCAATCACAATATTAATATAGCAACATATCCCATTTCCTCAAAAGGATATCGGATGAATTCCGAAGAAGAAAATCGAAAATACTTAATGCTTAACAGATCAATTATTTCCTGCAGAATGCCTGTTGATGAATATTTATTCATGAAGGTAATTTTTGAAATAACATACATACTCAACATTGAATTGATGAATTCCTATTTCTTCAAATAACAGGAAGTTAGAAAAGATCAATCTTAGAAATGATATTTATAAAATATCTACTAACAGGAAGTATATAATGGTGACAGCTCAGTTGTAGGAAGCGCTGGATCCGAATTCGAAGGTCGGCGGTTCAGAGCGCAGTTGGAAAACTTTTTTTTAATTATTGTTAATAACGATTACAGGATCTCTCGTGCTGCACTGTCACAATAAATAACCATTATGGATGTTAATTTTATATTTTTATATAATGTGTTTTTTGCTATTAATAAAGTTGTTCAAATATGAAAAACGACTCCATTTCAGTTCGAATTGAGGAAAATGTCTCGGTATGCAATGTATCAATAATCTAACAGAAGAATTGTGATTTGTCTTTTCATGCAGCTGGCTTAGTGACGGGAGACGTGTATATATATATTTGTGCCTTGATACAATATCTGCACTATCCGGAAGAGAATATAGTGTAGTCGTAGAAAAAGTATAGTACAATTCTCGAGTTGTAAAGCAATCACGCACTTGTGGAGTTACACACTCGCCGCTATGCGGCATCGTGTGTAACTGTCTCCACTTCGTGCGTAATATGCGTTTTACAACTCTTGTTATGTAATATACTATTGTCTAATGTGTGTTTCCTAGCCTGACTTTGCGTGGTGGTTCCCTACCCTAATGGGAAGCAAAAATTGTGTTTATGTCTTATTATTATTGGTTAACTTTTTATAGGGTATCAAAGGAGAGACTCTTTTGTTTATTTATCTGATGATTATTATGCAACTTTTATTGATATTGATCTTATATTTGATGAATTGGGCGCCTGTACTTTATTCTTCCGAAGCGCGGGTCTTGATTTAATTGTCTGTTGGTCAGGTCGTGCAGTAGCGGGTTCTCGTGGGTTTCCGTTCTTCCGAATGTAGTCTCCGCGTGTTGTCTTATGTAGTTGTCTATGTAGTCTGGGTTCATGTTCAGGTCCCTATAGATAAATCTATTTGGGATATATACCATGGGGCATTTACTGCCATTCTTATTGAGACATTGAGAAATGCCTGTATTCGCTTTTTGTATGTTTCTGCGCATTGGCCCCATGCACTTGATCAGGGCCGTCTCTAGCGGGTGTGCGAGGTGTGCACAGCACACCATCAGGCCAGAAAGGGGCGCCAAACGTAAGGGAAAATGATAGAAAAATTACTACTTTCAAATTAAAATATTCATTGAAAAATTGACTAGTTCCATTCCAAACATCAAAATATGCCGCCGAAAGGCAAAGGGGGTCGGGACAGGAGCGTAAAAAACAAAGTACGGAATATAATAAGTTGGTTATCTTTCGTGAAATCCTTTGTCCGCACGCGCACGATTCCATAATGCGTTTGATGCAGTCCCGAATTAGCCAAATATTTTTGCTCACTTTACAGGAAGCCGGTGGCGGCAAACAATGTATGATCTTAACAATTTGCAATTCGCCTTTGAAAGCCGCCCAGGGCGCCCAGCGGCACTAGGTTATTTTTATTTATAGTCGGCGTTTTTTTCACACAGATAATTTGATGTGGGGGTTTGAGTGCGGTGGTATATTGGACAAAGTTCATGGAATATTGTCATTGACATTGTCTTTTAATCTACTTCAGTGATTCAGTTCGTTTCATGGTCTCCAGTGTTCGTGTTTCATTAAAGAAAAAAAAAATGAAAAACTAGGAGTGGAAATATAAAATTAAGTATAGTGACTGGAAATATTTAATTTGCGTAGTCAATTTTATCATGAATTCTATGAATTATAGGAGAGGAAATCTAAAAAATTATCACAAAAGCAAAAAATTAAAAGTGGCTGTAATGTACTAGCTCTTCACAAATAATTTAGTTCATTTGTTTTCAAATTTCACGGTAGCTTTGAGAATTTTGCTAACACTGCTAGTATCTGTTGCAACAGGAGATAGATCTTTCTCGAAATTGAAAATAATAAAAAAATATTCGAGGTCGACAATGTCCCAAGAAAGATTGTCTAGTTTAGCAACTACATCAATAGAATCGAACTCATTAGATACTTTGGATATAAGCGATTTAATTAGAGATTTTGCTACTCAGCAAGCCCGTAAAGTGTCATTTTTGAGAATTGCAGTATTTTTCCTTGTGTGTTCATTATATTACTGCCTATAACTCACCTGAATACTCTCTGTTGATAAAATATGAATTCATTTCTAGAGTTCGTTCTCGGCTCTGGTTGTTCATTTCAGAATTTATTTTTATTTTTATATATATTGATGATTTGTTGAATTGAATTTTCATTATACATAAACGTATTCATTTTTTAAAATGAAACTGTTGAAAACATCAGATAGTTTCATTTTATATTTTGTTGCATCAGCTTTCAGTTTGTTAATTCAATAAACTCCAATAGGGGCGCTACTCTGTGATTTGCACACTAGCAGACAAATCTGTAGAGCCGGCCCGGCACTTGATGCATACAAAATTATTGGAAGTAGAATGGTTCTTCAACTCTAATGTTGCTTCTGTGACCTATTAGAGGCTGTAGGTTTTGCCTTGCGGCTTTACCCAGGTTTAGTCGTGTTGTGAAGTTTTGTCTGAAAGTGGATCACCCCTAGATATTTTGCCTCGTCTGCACTTGGTATCTGTGTGTCGTTTAGTATTACGTGTCCTGTGGGTTTGGTACGTCGTCTAGTGAAGAGAACAGCTTGACTTTTCTAAGCGTTGATTCCTGACCAAACACACACCACGCTCCTCGAAAGGTTGAATGCCCAGCATCAAGTGCCGCCATAAGCTATTTACGTTATATGATAGCTCCTCATCCCCATGTCCATCCACCCCCACTCACTAACGAGTGGACTTCAACCTCATGCATGTGAAAATCTGCATATGTTTTATGATACCCCTTACTTGGTTTCAGTCTACCGACTTTTGAACCTTTTTGTCTATTGTGTGTTTCCTAGCCTGACTTTGCGTGGTGGTTTCCTACCCTAATGGGAAGAATTTGAGTTTATGTATTATTATTTTCTGTTCATCTCCTGTTTAATTTTCTGATGATTATTATGCAACTTTTATTGATATTGATTTAATTTCGTTCATTTTATCTTATATTTGGTGAATTGGGCGCCTGTACTTTATTCTTCCGAAGCGCGGGTCTTGATTTAATTGTCTATTAGCCTTGATTCTATTAGTCAGGTCGTGCAGAAGCGGGTTTTCGTGGGTTTCCGTTCAACGTCCGCGATATGAACGCAAACACCGAACGCCACCTGGCAAGGAAAGAAACACTCACTGCCATTTCACCCGAAATAGGAGATTGTTCTGGAGTGTTTGATTT